CCTTCCCGCGCCCTCGGTGAGGCGGGCACCTCTGGGGCAGTGGGCGGGAGGAACCCACGGGGTGGAGTGTTTATAATTGAGACTGTTGACTCGGTAACTTGCCGACTGCGGACTTAGGCCAATGAGCTGTTTGGTAAGGAGGCGAGGTGGTTCTGCGATTTATTTCTGTTTGTACTGCCCTCCTTATCCATCACGACGTAAAGACGCATCTTTATGGTAGGGAGAGATCTGTGCACGCAGGGACGGAGGCAGCTGGGGGAATCTGTTCCCAAGGGGTCAATCACGTGTCAAAGGTTTTTTAAAAAGCAGGTGTCCGATGTTCATTTTTCAATTAAATTTATTGATTGGACGGAAGGTTTCCATGCAATTTATCATTGCTTTTTAAGCTGTGATTTCACTAGATCTTAATGCAAACATTAAACATCAGGTAAACAGTTACACACCAGAAATATTTTTCCAATCTGTATGCCTTTTAAAAAATACTCCAACGTGTTGGTAACTAAGTTAGCATAGTTTTTAAATGAACTTTTGATTTGGAAATGCTAATACATTCAATAATGTAATTGTTAATGTCTTAAACACTGACTTCTTAAAATACTAGATTTATGATTACCCAAATATAACAACACTTTTAAATGCCCCATTTACAATTTTATTTTTTACATTTTAAGAATTAGCATTTGGGTAGCTTAGCAAACAGGCTAAACGTTAGATTACATTATGTGAATAGGACCCTCCATATTAGACTAGATAGTGGTGACACTTGTATGAACTTTTTTGCGAAGGACTTTTTTTTTTTTTTTTAGTACTAGAGCTTTATTTTTTAAAAACAGCTTACTAATAAAAATTAGAGCAATAGACTTGGGAATCTTTTCTTTTTATTTATGAATTCATACCTGATAATTTGGGACAAATATCTTCACATAAAATTTGGCTCTCCCACCCAATACTTTGTGGTACTTAGAATATGAAACAAGAATTTAGTGATACTATATGTTTAATTTGTTAATAGTTTCACAACTGTACAGGAAGAAAAACAGCTTTGTAGCTTTTTTATTTGCTACATATAGTATTTGCAGCACTAATATTAAGGTTTTAAAAACTCCCTTCCATTTTAGGGGCATCTCTCTTAGTTTAGGAGTTTTGTATTATGTGTTCTCCCTCTACCCCCCCAGAAGGTTTACAGGAGCCCTCAAGTGGTAACCTAATGGTTAGTGCACTGTGGTTGGTCACAGTAAAGCATAGTAGAGAAGAAATATTACTGGTTTTTTTTTTTTTTTTAGTATTGGTTAAGGATGAGGGGAGGGGCCTAACATTTACATGCCTAGCTGAGTTTACCACCTTTGTTTCTTATCTAATCTTTATAGGAACTTGAGATTTTTGGTAGTCCTATTTTAGTGTATATGTAGCACTCCCACTCCCTTTTTAAGTTACAAAGAAAAGTCTTTAAACTTTTTTTACTGATAATGCTGTAAGTTTATGTTTTAAGATGGGGTTAGCTTAAAACTAGCAGTATGAAGTCAGGGTTGAGGAAAGGAAATATGTTTGAATAAGACCCAGAATATGCATTTTTTTGGTTTAAAAAGATTGATTATAAAATTGAGTGAATATTGATAATTAGTGAATGTTTTTGTTATAGTAAAAAGTTTTTGAATTAATGTGTTCCATTAAATCATGTTGTAAAGTATGAAAATATAGGAATCTGAGTTATAGAAAAAATGATGTTTTAGAATCCTTGCTTATAATGAATTTGGCTTTTAAAAGCATTTATCCTTCGGCTCAGTTCATCAGAACTTTGGTAAATTTAAAGGTGTCTTTGAAGCATTGAATTGTCAAGAAATTCCTTTTGCTTTATAAAGCATAGAAATTTATGTCTGAAATATCAATGTTTAAGATGTTTGAAATATGAATGCTCAGATACTATGTCATGCTAATTCTCAGGTTTTCCCAAACTGAACTTCCCCACACATGTTTTAATTTTGCAGAGAATTTTGGCTTGAAAATAAGAACATGCTACATTGTTAAGCTAAGAATATAGATTTTTAAATTTTGCAAAATGTGAGTTTAGTCTATGGAAAATCCTGATCTTTTATACGATATGTATGTATCGTTATCATATCTCCTCCTACCATTATAATTTCTCAAAAGGATTCTGGTTCTTTCAAGAATTATGTGGTAAATTCCCCTTAATTATCATGAATTGAATGACATTTAGGTTCAAAAAATGATTTTTGTGTGCTCAGTGTGCTAATTTTGTATGGAAACAATAATTTCTATTTAAGCATCATTGAGATCAAAGCATCCCATGGCTGCTATTGTCAGTTTTGAAATAATGGAAGTAAATTTGCCTATGTTGGAAGATAAGACTTTCTAAGAGTCAATGCTTGACCAGACCAGTTAATCTTTGAAGAATTATCATAATAAGGTATTATAATTTTATTGCTCCATGGTTGTAGTATTTACTTGTTCTAATGTTAGAGTTTCACCTAGGGTATGGTAGGTGATACATGCTGAACTATTTAAATGTGTGGTCTTCTTTAGGACTATGGTTGACTACTGGAAAGTAGCAGTTTTATATGTGAGCTACACATTCATATTCTGTATTTAAGAATAATCACTGTATGGAGATCATTCTGGTAGAGTCTGTCTGCCTCTGCTTCCTTTTTAAAAAGAAAGGAAGGAAAGAGAATGACAATGTCTGACTTTTCCTTTAGAAAATTTCAAATTAATTCGGAGAAAGCAATTTTTTTTAAAAAAAGCATTTTGAAGTAATATATGAAAAATATAAGAGCCTGTTAGCATTGATTGTGCTTACCCGAAGTAGCTAGAGGAGGTGTGATTTATGTGTTGGATTTTTATAATTTTTAAAATTTAAAAAAAATATAATCCCAGTATTGTCACACTCCAAAATATTACCAGTAAATCTTAATCAGTGTTCAATTTTTTTAGCTTCTTTGTATAGCTAGTTGCATTACTCCATTCTCCCCCTACCCGACATGATCCATTTCTCTTGCTACCCTGAATAGACTGAGTAGGAAGATGTAGGACTCGATCTGTAGGTTTGAGATGTGTCAGAAATCTTTTTTTCAGTTTAATTTTTGGATTTACCTTGGCTCATAAACTCTGAAAGGATTTTGTTACCTTTTATCTTTAGGACACTTAAAATACTTGGTGTCTTTTGTCCTTCACATCCTTTGATTAGGTAACTTACTCTTGAAACTGTTACAGGAAACAAACTTCAGACTCAATCTAATATCCAGTACATTTTCCTGTCTACAAAGTGAAACCCATTTCTGTTTTCCTTCATTTTCAGTTTTGTATCCAGAGAGTATTCATTTTGTCTAAACTATGGGACTTTTTATAATCTTCTCACCAGTATCAAGTAGTAGCCTTGGTTTGGTAGAGAAAAGTGGAAAAGGTAGCAAGAATAATAAAAACATATTTGTTTCAATTTGTATGTTTTTTTCTTTGTCTATTGTTCAGGAAAGAGAATTTACATGAAGCAACTCTGAAACATTGTGCTTTTCTTTGATTTTCATCTACTAGGGAACTTCTCATTATTCTTTTCTGTGTTTATTTTATAGTGGGAGTTCTGATTAATTGTGTCAGGCCATATTTGTTACCACCTAGGTAAAAGTCCTTTAAAGAAGTAGCATACTTAAGTTGTAGAAGAAGGAAGCCTTCCCTAACCCCTCTGGTTCAGATCAGGATTTCTCAGTGTTGATACTGTTGGACTTTTGGATTAGGTAACTATTTGCTGTGAGGCATGATCCTGCACCTTGAGAATGTTTAGCAGCATCCCTGGCCTTTTCCCACTAGATATCACTAGCACCTTCCCCATTTGTGACAACTGAAAATGTCTCTAGGTATTACCATCTTTGGGGAATGACCTTGATTGAGAACCACTGATTGAGATTTCCTTTTAAGTGTCTAAAGACATCTGTACTTTCCCTTCCAGTGTTTACTATAATTAGTCTTTACCACTGAATTAGAAGAATGACTATATTCTCATTGCTTCATATCCTTGATACACAGGACAGCACTTTAATCAGTAGTACATGTACATACCAACAAAAAAAGTTCTTGAATGAATGGATGGGTTATATACTAACTAGGTAACTGAATGACCTTGGCCAAGGTAGTTAGCATTTCTCGATATTTGGTTTTTAAATAAGTTACTGATTTGATTTTATATTTAGATTCCCTGCTAGTGGGACAATTCTTTGACTAACTTAATATAAAGTTAATTTTATGAGGATTTATTATGCCTAAGCAGTACTTTAAAGGTTATTTTTATGGCACTGTAGGAATATAGGAGATTAGGTGGAAATTTTAAAATTTAAAGTTTTTATCTGATTATAATTTTTACTAAACGAGGGGCGGGGACTTTTTGATTGAAAATTCCAGTTAGGTTAAATCCATCTTGGTTTTATATTGTTTAGTAATTATACTCTGTTTTCTTAAAATGAAGATATGGTAAAATGATGATATGGTAAAATATGGTTTAAAAATTTGAGGATACAAGGATAATTGAGAGATTGATACTGATGATTTTGAAACTGCATGCTTTGAGAATGTCTTAATCATTCAAGATTACATATAATTTTTTTTTTGGCAAGATTGAAATCTATGTTACACATACCATTCAACCATTTTATACTAAACTACCATTGGGTTTGTTACAGTAATTTAGATGAACTTTTGGAGAATTTCTTTATCCCCAATCTCCTAAATACTTATATATTTTATGATTGATTGTTTCTTTTAAAAAAGGGTATATGGGTAGCTTAGAATAAGTGATATTACTGCTTACATATACAATTTCAGATATCTCTTTCTAGAGTCAATTGTGCTGTTTTTGGACAACTTCTAACTCATAAGGGTATGAGAAAATGTAATCAACCTTGACCATGAACACTGGCTGAGCTCCTGAACTCTTAAGTGAGCTCATTTTATCTGGTTTTGTTTTCTCAACATCTTTCTCTACTCCTCTCTCTCAGGATTGTGCCTCTACTCCTGCTTGTACAGACTGCTTTTCCAGCAGCATGGACACAAGAAGCATAGTAAGATGATTATAATCCACGTAAGGCAGGCGCTTTGGAAAATGTTAGGTTTAAATTGATAGTGAAATGACATATTGATTACATGGGTGGTACTTAGAAGCAAAATGAAGTTTGTCACTTAGAACATGTTAGTAATCTTAAAGAGAGCATGTAAGAAATAAGTTGAATTTATTTGCAAGAAATTGTAAAGTTTCTTCCATGGGGGGTGTGGTTTGCGTTTAGCCGTGAACATAAATCATATATAAACTCTTGTTAAATTTACTTGCATTCTGCTCCACCTAATTTTATGTTTTTTTTAAATATAAGAAATATATTTGATAATGAGCAAATTGCAGAGCTCTTAATTTGATGGTTGGAAATAAAATACATTTTATTTTTTGAAGAAGTTTTTCAAACTATAAGATGACAAATATAGGAATGGAGAAATAAAAAAAGACTAAATCATAGAGGAACAGATTGTGATAGAGTTACTTTAGTTATGAAAATAAATAAATGATGATGAGAAATGTTTTAGATCCTGTGGTTTCTTGTATGAACTCTCAAGTTTGATGTAAATACGATGTGTTTTCTCTGGTTTTTATTTTATGAGTTTATTTCATCCTTTTAACTGTTTTATGAAAGTTTTTGATAAACCATATTTTAAACTTAGGGAGGGATATGCAAATGTATTATGCTACCCACAGTAGGCAAAGAAATATCTTAGAAACTTTGAAATTACTTCATTTAGTCAGAGTGCAGAATAGATTATTCATATTTTCTAGTATGATTGTTAAGTTAATGTGTACCAAATTCATTTTTGAAATAATTTTGCAGTGTAATATAATTTATGTAGATTTACTTGAAAGACCATTCATCCTTTCATTCATTCGTTCGTATAATTCTTTGTGAATGCTTATTGTGTGCTAGGCATTTTTCTATCTTCTGTGGTACATTGGTAAACCAGACCAGCAAAAAGCCTTACCTTGTTGAAGCTTATGTTCTTGTGATCCTTTCTCTTTTGCCTCATTTTTTTTTAAGAGAGAGAGAGAGAATTTTAATATTTATTTTTTAGTTTGTTTGTATGTGGTGCTGAGGATCGAACCCGGGCTGCACTCATGCCAGGCGAGCACGCTATCGCTTGAGCCACATCCCCAGCCCCTCTTTTGCCTCATTAGTCTTGTGTTTAGTGTACTTCATGTAGAGCTGGTGGGGCTGGGCAGGCATACTAACTCTTCATTGCTTCATTGCTGTGGACTGGGTTGGTTGCCTTTCTTTAGTGTCATTTCCACCTGGTCTATTCAGCATTTTGCATTTTTCCTCAAAGAGCCAGATTGCTTGACCACTGGTCAAAATAGAGACTAAGTAGGTAGATGTATTTTAAAAAGATCATGATCCTCTTTTTCCAATAATGGGCAGTTATGACTAGTAACATTAAAATTTTATTTTATAGCAAATTTACTGTCATGTATTTAAAAAACACCTCCAGTGACATTTTAGAATTATAACTAATATAACTTTTAAAGATGTTTTCTTTTTTTGGCAAGATACAGTTTCTATATGCAACTTCTTTTCAGTGGTGACCAAAGCTTTATGAATTTACAATTTATTTTTTTTTTACACTGGGGATTGAATCCAAGAGTGCTTAGCAACCCTGAGCCCCATTGCCAGCCCTTTTTATTTTTTATTTTGAGACAAGTTCTTACTAGGTTGCTTATAGTCTTGTTGAGTTGTTGAGGCTGGCTTCAAACATGTGATCTTCCTGTCTCAGCCTCCTGAGCTGCTGAGATTAAAGGCATGTGCTACCACACCTGGCCATAAATTATTTTTAAAATAAACTTTTCCTTGACTTTAGTATATGAAAAATTTGAGATCTATATCTCTCTCTCTCTCTCTCTCTCTCTCTCTCTCTCTCTCTCTCTCTCTTTGGTACCAGGGATTGAACCCAGGGGCACTTAACTACTGAGCCACATCCCCATCCCTATCCCTAGCCCCTTTTTTATATTTTTTTTAGAGTCAGGGTCTTGATGAGTTGTAGACCCTTGCTAAGTTGCTGAGGCTGGCTTTGAACTTGCAGTCCTCCTGTCTCAGCTTCCCAAGCCAGTTGGATTACAGGCGTGTGCCACTCCACCCGGCTGAAATCTTTTTTATAAACACTTATTTTCTGAATTTGGTGTGATTCCTCAGGGCTCATTTCAGTCTTGTAAATACAGAACAAACCAGTTTTGGTCATGTACTTTAATGTGTAGAACTTGGGAAATAGGGGCTGGGTTTGTAACTCAGTGGTAGAGCGCTTGCCTTGCTTGCGTGAGGCACTGGGTTCAATCCTCAACACCACATAAAAAAAAACAAAATAAATATATTGTGTTCATCTACAACTAAAAAATATTAAAAAAAAAGAACTTGGGAAATAATATAAGAAACCTTTATTTAGTAGCAATACTGGGTCACAGTATCTCCAGGGTTGACCAAATCCTAGTTAATGTCTTTTTTTAATTTAGGAATGTTTTTGAAACCATACAGTTTTATGGAAGAAATTGATATTATTGAATTTATCAGAATATTTGACATATGGGTAAAAATCTTGAAGTAAAAGTATTTTACGTATTTATTTATTTTTTTGTGGTACTGGAAGTTGAACCCAGGGCCTCATGCTTTCCAGGCAAGCACTCTACCACTGAGCCATATACCCAGCCCTATTTTTTTCTTTTTCTTTTTCTTTCTTTCTTTCTTTCTTTCTTTCTTTTTTTTTTAAAATATTTGTTTTAGTAGTAGATGGACACAAAACCTTTATTTATTCATTTCTATGTGGTGCTGAAGATGGAACACAGTGCCTCACACGTGCTAGGCAGGTGCTCTACTGCTGAGCTACAACCCAAACCCTAAAAGTATTTTATTTCTGTGCTGGAGATTGAACTTGGACCCCTGGACAGGTGAATATGTAATCTGCCATTAAGCTATACGCTCAACCATGGCATCAAAGATTTTTTTTTTTTTTTAAAGGGAGAGAGAGAATTTTTGAGTATTTTTTTTAGTTTTCGGCGGATACAACATCTCTGTTTGTATGTGGTGCTGAGGATCGAACCCGGGCCTCATGTATGCCAGGCGAGTGCGCTACCGCTTGAGCCACATCCCCAGCCCAATTTTTTTTTTCTTAATCTTTTCTCCCTTTCAAATGAATCTTGAATAAATGAAATCTTTACAAACTAAAACATCTGATATTTCAAATATCTAGTTTGTGTAACAGTTGCTCACCATAATGGAAAAATGTCTGGCTTATGTATTTTTGAAGTACTTTATAGTATAGTTTTCCCTGGGTGTTCAAGGATGATTGATTCTATGATAACCCTTTCAGTTGGAGATATGCAGGTCCCAAGATGCTCAAATAGCCTGTATAAAATGACACTATATAGTATTTGCATATAACCTAAACACATTCTCCTCTATACTGTAAATCATCTGTATATTACTTACAATTCCTAATACAATATAAATGCCATGTAAATAGTTGGTATTGTTTATTGTTTAGGAATAATGACAGTGCATGTTCAGTAAAGTTGTTCAGTAGAGTTATTTTTCCCTAATATTTTTGACTTGTGGTTGGCTGAATTCATTGATGCACATGACTCACAGATGTGGAGGGCTGCCTGTATATTATTTTAGATTCTTCTCTTTTCCCCTGTCCATCTTCATGTTTCTGTGAATCTTAAAGGATAACTTTTGAGAAAGGTTGGATAGGTGAGTTTCCATTTTTGCCGAGGAAATGGAGTTTTGTAGGTATTAGAATAGGGACTGAACGTGCAGATGTTTTTCTTACCTTTCTGTGTAAAGGAGAACCATCACTCATGTTTTCATAACTTTTTGCTGGCAGCATGTGCAAATATAAATTAACTTCATTTTTTTCCTCATTCTTTCAAACTATAATTTCACATTTATAGAAAAATTACAAGGAGGATATTTTTTGTGACTATTTCAACTATATTTCTCTACCTTCTGTTAATCATATTTGCTGTCTTATTCTTTCTCTCCATTTACACATGAACACACATAACCTTTTTTTCTGAATATTTTTAGAGTAGATTCCAGTCTCGGTGCTCTTTACCTCTAAATAGCTGTGTATGTTTTCTTAAAACATTATTTAATCATGGTTATCAAACTTGAGAAATTAGCACCCATTATGTTATCTGAAAATCTTTTTCAAGTTTCACAGAATGTACTAGTACGGTCCTTAATAGAATAATTCCTATACCGCACATACCTTAACATTCATTAGCTTTGTCTCCTTTAATTTGGAACAGTTGATTATTCTTTTGTTGTCTTTTATGACTTTGAGATGTTATTTGGTAAGAATAAACCAGTTGTTAGAATTCACTCAATATTGATTTGTCTGCTGTTTATTATTAGGTTCAGGTTGTGCATTTTTGGCAGGAATATTCCGGAAGTGATATTATGTTTTTCTCTATACACCATATCAGTAGGCATATAATGTCCATTTATCTCATTAAAGGGGAACTGTTATCTATAAGGTTTCTCCATCTTCTTGTAACATGTATTTTAAGGGGAGATATTTTAATGCAAGTGTTAAAAATACCATCAAACCTTTTCCACTTGTTTTGATATATGTTCAATTCTTGCCTGAATCAGTACTAATATGGTTGCCAAATGGCAATTTTCTAAGTCTGTCATGTCTACCTCTTAGTTGGTGTTCTGTAAGAGCTTTTCTTTACCTTCATTTTTATGTATGTATGCAATATCATTATGAACTCATGGGTTCTTTATTATTTGCTTTTTTTTTTTTTTGATAATTCTCAGATTTGACTTAATCAGAGCTCCATCAGGCTGGCTTCTGTGTCCTTTTGATGAGTACTAATCATTTTCTGAATACTCTCTTATTTTCTGGTGTAATAAGATACTCCTACCCTACTTAGCCATGGTAAGCTATTTCTTCAGGAAGCCCTAGTTTCTTTTAGAGGATATATATCTGTCAAGAGATAAAGCTAAATATTTTATACAAACACATGCAC